AGCATCATTCTCCGAAATCCTTTTGAGAGTCAAATTCCTTACACCAAATCAGGAAGCCAGTTGTTCATGGATGTATACACACATATAGACACGTTTCCTCTGTTGCCATTAGACACTGTGTAATTAACCATCCTCTTGCACATTTCTCCTTGGAGACATAGTAGGGGTGGGCTCTCGGCGGATTTGGGAGAGAGAAACGCGAAGGAGGAGAGGAAGCTACTGTAGCTGCTGCTTTCATCTAATGAGATTTTGTGAAGAGTTAATGTGCACTTCGTACTGTAACGCCTCAGTGACTGCAGTACCGTCATAAAAATAGATAAAGGGGAGGTTTGGGCTACAGTCAGGACTGATGGATTTAGATATTTGAATAATGCAGTTAAACCACGGCTCAACAAAAACTAAGTTAATGCCAGTAACAAATTCTGGTCCTCATTTTACTCCCTGTAAAAGAAAAAAATAAAAAGTTTAATATGACTCACTGGTCACTCACTGATGCATCTGTTAGCTCAGCTGTTTATGTGACCATGAATATAAATGCCACAGAACAGCTTTGACTAGACATTTTTCAAAGAAATATAGGGGCCTACCCTTCAGTAGATAGATTTCCTCCGAAGCTTGTGTAACAAACAAAACAAACAAAAAACTTAACACAAAAACACCCTGTCATGAAGACTTTAATCTCAGGGTATGCAATTTGCTCAGTGAAGAATAAAACAGTAAAATAACCAACCATGAACCATTTTATATTCTCTAACTGAATTATATCTGTTTTTAACTTGCACTGTGTTGAGAAACCCCTTGGGACCTAGGAAACAGTGTACTGGAGTTATGTGTTCTCTCTGTGTATAGAGAGCCTAAACTATGTGGACAGCTGGTGAAGCTGTAAGGGCAGTGGGAATGGACATCACAATTAAGCAATTGCTAGTTTATGTGATGTCATAGAAAGAGCAATTTGTAAAACCTTCAGGTGTTGCATTTCTCCTCCGCTATTATGGATTCTGTTTGAAAGATTCACTTTGGAGCATTATCATTGCTCAGTATATAACTTTATCCCTCAAGAATCTGAGATAAATCTGTATCTTATTCTAGAGAGTGGAATTACTTGTAAATCTGTGTTGAAACGTCCGGATGGCTTTCAGTATCCTTGCTATTGGTTAGAAGTTGCTGCAACAGGAATGGGGATGTTATTTTCTTGTATGACATTAGGTGAGAATCAACACTGATGAGTCAAGATATTAAGAAGAGAACTATAGATTTCCAAAACAGAGGCGTTCACAGACTTTTTGTATGGCAGAGGCGGAAGAAAAAAAGGACACATACAGCACATAATCACCAATGTAGAGTTGACTTTAGCGTACCCTTTTTTTGCCAAGAAGGCACTTTAGCATGTGTTTTGGTGCATTCATAAAAAGACGTTATGAAGATGGTGGTGGAAGCTGGTAAGTGAATAGCTGCAAGGTCTACATTTAGGAGAGACCATTTCTCCAAAAGCAGCATAGAAAGATCAATAACAATTTGCAGATGCACTCAAGGCCAAAGGTATTTTCAGACACACATACAGGGGTCGGATGAAACGAAAAATGTTACAGCTTGACCTTATTGGCCATTATTACATTTGGAAGCAAACAGATGCCTAAGAATACTGCCAAAACTGTGACATAGAGGGATGGCAGGATTATGTTTTGTGGGTGTTTTGCTACAGAATGGATAGATGAACTCCCCAAAACGGATGGCATCATGAGGGAAGATGTATGTCGAAATTCAAGAAACATCTCAACTGACTTCAAACAGGAAGTTTAAGATGAGCCAGAATTGAATTTTCCAAATGAACAATCGCTGCAAATATACCACAAAATTTGCTTTTGTTTTTAAGAAAAAAAAAAATGGAGTAGGCCTTACAGAACCCTCATTTTAGTGCCTTGGTTAATTAGTGGGCCGTGATAAAAAAGACTGTGTTAGCAAAGCAGCCTACAAGCTTGACAACATTCCACCAGTTCTATCAGCAGGAAAACTGTGGGAAGCACACCAAAAGTGTTTAACCCAAATCACCCAGTAGCTGTTCTACAGTACAGTAGGGGGAAAAAAATGTTTCTCTCCCAATATAGGAGCCTTTAGATAACAGAAACAGTTGTGTAAAGCCTTACTGACCAGAGTTTATCAGACATTGCGAATTAAAGGTAATGCGTCTTTATATACAGTGTATGCTAATATCTGCAGCCCAACATTATGAATATATTCTGTGGTTCTAAATTTTGATTTCTAAACAAACACCATTAAATCAGCAGATAATTGAGGTTTTGAGTTCTACTCTTTCTGATGAAAGGTGCCTCAGCCATAAAGAAATAAAAATTCTTTCATAGGTCGATAGGTAAAGGAGCTTTATATGATTTTGTTGAGAAAATTATTTTTAGGATCTTTTAAAAGTGAAACTAGAGATGGTTGTGAAAATTGGCTAGTGGGTTTGGCAGCTTTAACCCCCTGTCACACCTTGACGATATAGACCAGCGTATTTCTGATGTATGAAAAATCTGATAAAAACTCTGGCATACATTAGATAATTTATGGGTATGTTTTGTATAAGTTATGAGCACGTTGAAGTATGCTGAAGCACGCTGAAACACTGAGCACACGTCGACATACGGCGAGTACGTCGAGAAGTTTTGAGCATGCTCAAAATTTCTTGACGTATGCAAGCGTATACATACATGGGGCATAAGTAACAGGTAAGTTATCTGATCGTTGACATACATTAAGTGTTAGTTACTCATAAGTCATGGCGTGTAGCTTATCCAAAACCTATGAGTAACTTGTGCATAACTTATGTGTAACTTATACAGAATGTATTTCTAAGCCATATCAACGTATCTTTTGGTATAAAATGAGATTCACAGGAAGAAGTTGTCAGTTCTCCTCCAGACTTCATCTGCTGCGACTGCAAACCTTCTTTCTTGCTTTTTCTTTTTCTTTATCCTTTTTTTTGGGGGGGCGGCGATAAACACCAGTTAGGTTAATTCTGTGATCAAAGACATCTTTTAATGCAGACCGGCGGCCTCCCGGTTCCGTTGCTCTTGAGGGGAGCAGCTTTAACTGATGCTTCATAAGGGCATAATTTCATGGGCATTACGCTGCCATGCTTTATGCATTAGTTAGGCTGTGGTTTGACATAAGTTCTTGACTTGTTATGAATACACTATGTATAAGCCCAAACTTGAAAAAATACATAGAAAGTTCAGCATAGGCCAGCGATGTACGAAATTCTGGGACGTCAGGCAAAAGCTGTCTAAAGGCTGGTTTATACTCAGAAACCAGGTCGTCTGCATGTGTGTCGCAGTTAGCTTGACGCAGGTATGAAACCAAGATTTTTGATTTATGCCCAATTTTGAAGTGTGGTCTGCGCTATGTTATTCCACGCCACAACGCAAGAGGGACAATCACGAATTAACTGTGGGTCTAGATACGACCGAGGGGGTGAGGAAGTAGAAAAATCAGGACATGTGCTACTTTTCATAGCTAAAAAAATGTCCGGGGGGAATTTCAAAATTGTCTGGGATTTTGGTCAACTACAGTGCAGCAGAACCAAGCCGTATGCACCGCGGTGAAGTTGGTTTGAAGTTGGATATTGGATATTCAAGCTCCGCAGAGTCAGTGGAATCTAGCTCACGGTTGATGCGATTGAGGCATTCTGATGTCGACCAATGTCTCTTAACTGCTCTCTCCTCCCACACGTGGTGGTGCACTTAGGGACCGTCAACAAATCTTTGAACCAACCACTCTTGAGAAACAAAAATCAATAAATTCCTTATCTTATGACCTGCTATTTCTTCAATAGCTTCCAGGTCATGAGACCCACTGACACCTAATCTATATCAAATTTTTGCCAATTCATTTTTATTCCATACAGCATACCGTCACTGGGTTGGGTGTCGCTGATGGCTAGGTTCAAATGCCTGGCCAGTCAGCGGCCCAGCGGCCCCCATAAAAAATTTTTTCTCCTTTTCAGAAACCCAAATCTGCCTACCCTAGTTTTCTACAATGGCGGTCATACAAACAAAACAAGCCTATAAAATACCAAACAGGACATGGTGTAGAGCGGATGTAGATTTAAACAATCAGTCCTCCTTTCTGCGGCACATTGTGCAGTCACCTACCATTTTGGAAAGGTGCACCAGAGTGTCTGCGGAAGGGGCCGGGGCATATCTGCATTAACTGTGACACACACGCAGACAACCTCGTTTCTGAGCATAAACCAACCTTAAGTTGGTAACAGAGCAGTTTTATTCTATTTTCTGTAGAAATTAGAAACAAAAATCCACATCAGAGAGATTCACTGGAAATGAACAGCATGTAAAGGACATTGAACAATAACTTTGGTGTTTTTTGTCCTCTGGTTTGAAAAAGGAGAAGATTGTTGGCACAAAATTAGGAGATATCTCATTTTAGATATTTCCTTTTAAGGGTAAGAAAAAAAAAAGCTTTTTGAATGTCTTTCATCAATTAAATCTACACTCATGTATTAGATCCCTGTAGTTACTTACAGTGTTCAGGCATTTAGGCCTTGACCGAGCCTCCTCCCACGCTCCCGTGGGCAGACTGTATAAACACACACAATTCTCCCTCTCATCATTACCAGACCGTAATCTATAATGCAGTCTGGTCTCCCTCTGAATCAGTTCCACTACATGTAGGCTATCTATTATTGAATTGATTAAAAATAGGTTTTTTAACAGCAGCTGCCTTTTCCCGCTCCAACAAATATATCTCTTGCTCCACCTCTGGATACTTTTCCAAACCCCTACTAAATCACTTAATAATGTCACTGTTTTTGAATTTTTCATCTGTAAGTGCAAACTTGCAAACCCACAAAACAAATAGTTACAAAAAGATTAGAACATTACATGTCATTAAAAGCAAATTTTAGAGTAAATGTGGTCATAAATAATTTGTTTTTCCATGTTCTTTAAATTTCTAGTATTTCTCATATGAATGCACATATGTTGCAGGGGGGCTTTCTCTGAGGTGGTTCTCGCAGAGGAGAAGAGGACTCAGAGGCTAGTGGCCATCAAGTGCATCCCTAAGAAAGCCCTGGAAGGGAAGGAGAACAACATTGAAAATGAGATTGCAGTTCTGCACAGGTGAGGTCATGTGCCCTGGGCTTGAGAATTAGTCAGAACGCCATTTCACAACACTCGCACATGTAAATGTAATGCAGGGGTCAACAGAAAGATGACTAAATGTATGGTGTCAGTTGAAACAGTACAATTGTGCACCGGAAATGTCAGGAGTAAAGAAGATAGTCCTATTTTTAGTGTCCCTGTTTCTAGGGCAACAGCACACAGAGGCGGAGATGGTGTGGAGTTCCCCGCAGCAGTGTACTGAAGAAGGAGAAAGAAACACAGAGAGGGTGGAGGTGGGGAGGGGCTGTGTGGAATGGGCTGAGGGAGGGTATGGAAGAAAAAGGAGAGAACTGTATGGGAGAGCAGGAGTGGAGTTTGGGAAATGTTTAAGAAGCAATAAGATATGTAATATAGGGTAACATGAGTCTAATTTGTTAGAAATTAGGATGAGTTTGTTTCTGTCTTCATTTTTCTAGCTCTTCACTGCAAAGTTGGTGAGAGCTAATATCAGCTGGATTCAAGGGCAGAGACATACGCTAATCCATCTGTTAGTCAATCAATTTCCTCATAAGAGAGATTAGATTTGCCTTAATTATTTTTTGTTTGTTTTATAGGTACTACATAATTACTTGGCCAGTATTTCCAGCTTTTTTTTTTCAGTGTCAGCCTTCTTAACCTTTGTCATGCTTCAGTGAAAACGTTTTTTTTCCTTTCTTAAAATTGCTGTGCGATATAATCCAAACTTTATTTTCTTCTATAGATGTGAGTAAGCAGACTTTTCTTTATGTTATCTGTTCATCACGAATGCCATCTGTTGCCCAGCTTGAGAGATGTGGTTAGTTTCAGTTTTATACCTTTCATATACCTTCCCTAGAATCAAGCACCCAAACATAGTTTCGCTGGAGGACATCTTTGAGAGTACATCTCATCTATACCTTGTCATGCAACTGTGAGTATCCCTTCCTTTTTTTCTCTAGCCATGGACTGAATAAGAACATCTACATTTCTCTATACATGTGTAACCTTAGAAACAAAATCAAGGGTGATCCTGTTACTTAATTGATCATTTACCAGAATGGTTTTTGTTTTTTTTGTGGTTTTTTTGTGCCCCATAGCCAAAGGGGCAAACGCTTTGGAAATGTATGTCTTTCAAAGGTAAAGGAAGATATTTTATACTTGCCTTGTTAAATCTTTAGCAACATGAATGATGGCTGCATGGATACATCTGTATGTTGCTGTATTTCTCAGGTAGCAACTTCCTGGCTTTCTATACATATTAGCAAGGATAACCTCCTTCAGAATCTGTGGTAATTAATCTGACCACCAAGCGCTAATGAAAACTTGTTTTTGTCTGTGTCTCAACAACAGGGCAACACACAACCATGCACAAACACACACACACACACATTCACACCTAACATATTTTTTTTTTACTCTTAAGTACCTGTAGAGAACCCACGTATGCAGGGGAAAGGGATGAAAACTCTATGTAGAAAAACTTAAGGCCGGAGTTGAACCCAGGACCTTCTTACTGCAAGGCAACAGCACTACCAATTGCACCACTGTGCAGCCATCCTAACTACTACTAAAGTCAATTAAAATGTTTTAGTCCATTTTTAAAACATTATTAATAGCAATCAAATGAAAACAGCTAAAAAACTGAAACATAACTAACTAAAAAAATATTTTAAAGCACAAAATTATGATTTTTTTTAAAGCTAAAATCCCCTCTGATTTTAAGCCTAAATCTTGAGATGTCAAGTGGGTTGTTTATTTGATAATGGCAAAGCTTAGGTATTGTGAAAAAGGTGCCACACCATCTAGACTTGGGAAATAATTTAAAATGATGGTAAATAGCCTGCACTTGTAGCACACTTTATCAAGTCTGAGGACTACAAAGTTGTTTACACTGCATTCAGGCATTCACACACTGATGGTGGTAAGCTACATTGTTGCCAAGGCTGTCATGTGGAAGATTGATAGCATTTAGAGACTTCAGTCTTTATTTCATTACCTGACTTGGCACTGCGGGTTGCAGGTTCGTTTCCTGGCCCACAGTCTTTTGCATGGAGTTTGCATGTTCTGCCGGTGCAAGCGTGGGTTCTCTCCGGGTCCTCCAGCTTTTTCCAACAGTGCAAAAACTTGACTGTTGGCTTCTCTAAATTCTCCTTAGGTGGGAGTGTGTATGTGAATGGTTAGTTGTCCTGTTTGTCCCTGTGTTGCCCTCACCTCTCCCCCTTTGACAGCTGGAGATAGGCACCAGCACCACTTGGGTCACAAGGCGTTTGACCCTTTTTAAAACTGGTTTTATTGTTTACTTTTAGGGATTTTATGTATTGTTTTATTTGTCTTTTAGACATTTTTTGTAGTCTGTAGAACCATCTGTCTGTACAACACTTTGTTTCAGCCATTCTGGTATGGTATGGTATATTTAGTTGACACATCTTTCTACAAACTGGTCTGTCATTTGATTACATCTATTTTCACATAGATATAAGGTATACTGTGTATATTGCAGTGCTATTTCAGATATTTTCTCTTTCTGTTGTCAGATTGCAAATAAAGTCAGAGATTCAAAATATAGTGTGTCTCACCCAGACCACATTGTGCTCCAAAGCTCTTCAAGCTGGTTTAAAACCCTGATTTAATTTAGGCACAGCATCAGTTTACTAATCCTCCACTTACATAATCTGAAAACATCTGCCCTGTTAATTTGAGTATAGTCACCAGTATGGTCAAATGGGATATATCAGATCAAGAAGTTCCTTTGTTTTCATCTGCTAGCTGATTTCTAGTCTATTTGTGCACGCAGAATAGCACATGGAGGCACAGCTGAGCTCCTGTAGTGTTCCTTTTTTGAATGCAACTCGAGTTTAATTGTTTTGATAGCTTAAGACAACTAGATTGGCATGCATGTTATCAATACATAAATAATAAAACTTTTCATCAAAATACATTTTATCACCTTAAAGCTGATGTTAGGAGCTTTGTAAAATTTAGTTATTTTTATACTCCCCTTCATGAACCAGAAAATGTTTTTCACAGCTTGAAAATTCAGTTTTGGTTTATGGTGTTTACCATTACTTAAATGAGCAATCAGTCGTTATTACACCTAGTTTTTTTTAAATTAGAACAATGCACAAAACAAATAGCCACCCCCTCATATACACCTCGGCTACTAAGAGAGTGATGCAGGTTGCCAAGTCTTACATATTTTTAAGGTTATATCTGGTTGGCTCTCTTGCTGACCAAATCAAATACTGGGCTTTGTTTTTGACACCACTACGAATTCTCATCTGATTGACTAAAGGACCAGGAAGTGAATAGAAGTTGACTGTTGCACTGAAGTACTTTCACACATTACCTCTAGTTTTGAAAATAGTAAAACATTGTTGATGTAGGGGTTTGACTGTTTATGGGGAATGTTACTTCCATTCCAAGTGACAAATTAGGATTGTGTTAAATATTATAATACATTTCAAATTTAATACTCATTTAAATCAGTTTCTGGATCAGATAAAGGAAAATATTAGACACCAACACCCGCAGATTTCTTGGATGGAAAAAAAACAAAAGTGAAAAACTAAAATAAAAGTCACACAAACTTCATATTTTCAAAGATAACCTGACCTATAATAATAATTTTATATTGTATTTTTTTTCTTTTTGTCAGAGTTTCTGGAGGAGAACTTTTCGACAGGATCGTGGAGAAGGGGTTTTACACAGAGAGGGATGCTAGCCAGCTCATCCATCAGATCTTGGATGCTGTTAAATATCTCCATGATATGGGAATCGTTCACAGAGATTTGAAGGTACCCTCTTTCAGGAACGATAAAATAAACCTCAAACTGGCTCTAAGTTGATCTTTGTTTCCTATTTACAAACTATCTCCTTTTGTCCCCATGCGTTGTATTCGCAGCCAGAGAACTTACTGTATTACAGTATGGATGAAGACTCTAAAATCATGATCAGTGACTTTGGCCTGTCTAAGATTGAAGGAGCGGGCAGTGTCATGTCCACGGCATGTGGTACTCCTGGTTACGTTGGTGAGCAACCCTTTCTCAGGTCATTCGATTTCTCTTCAGCACACACTCTCATTTCTATGAGAGCTGTTATAGCTGACATCTCATTATTCAATGGACGTTAAGAGGCTTTTTATCCACTTGTGAGGCAATCATAAGTGTTTCAGAAGGGCTTTGCTGCTACTTAGAGTGACCTGCTAGATCAAACAGATTTTGCTGAAAGATCAAGATACCTTGTGTCTGTTATTTTTCACTCAGCTAATGCGCATCATGTTTTGTTCACAGCCCCTGAAGTTCTCGCTCAGAAACCATACAGTAAAGCTGTTGATTGTTGGTCCATAGGAGTTATTTCTTATATCTTGTGAGTTGCTCTACTTCATTACCTTTGATAGAAATGAAACGTAACTTTCAAAATGATCTGTTTATAATTGTGGTCCTTCAGACTCTGTGGATATCCTCCGTTTTATGACGAAAATGATGCCAAGTTATTTGAGCAGATTCTGAAAGCAGAGTATGAGTTTGACTCTCCGTACTGGGATGACATCTCAGATTCAGGTAATGCCAAAACATTGACTACTGATGCAACTATAACAAGTATTTTTTAAACATAGACCTAAATTCTGTTGGCAGCCAAAGACTTCATCTGTCACATGATGGAAAAGGACCCTATGAAGAGGTATACGTGTGAGCAAGCTCTTCAACATCCTTGGTAGGAAAATGTCAACAGCTTTTGTTGCCTGCAATATTTCTTGAGTAATTCTGCAACTTAACTATGCAGAAATGACACAGATGTTTAATGTGATATTTTCAATTTCAATGTAACTTTAGACTTAGACAATTTTTGGAAACAATAGATAGCAAAAAGTAAACACAAATGTTAGGTAACCCCTACAGAATAAACTACCAAGCAGGATTAATGGCCTATTGATATAACTTTAGTATCAGTTCCCAGTACTTCTTCTAACACTGTGGTCACTAAGATTGGAAATCCAACTTGAGCAAGTTTGTCGAAATAGTTTTTTTCTTGTGAAATCAAATTTCATTAAGTCTAAGACAAAACGACATGCTTAAATAATGCCACATTAACTGTTTCAATTCAACTTTATCAACTCAGTTTCTTTTTTCTGAGGTTACTAATTCTAGATATATGCTAGTTTAGATAAAAAAAGGATGAGTCAAATAAGAGGACCAAACACAATGACAAAGCAGAAAGAAAACTGATAACAAGTGAAAAAAAATTAAGAAATACATTTATTTTACCATGAACATCATAGCATTAACACATTAGACTGATTGTTTAATCTTTGCTCTGCACTCCTCTGTATTATAAATCCTCTTTATAAGCAATGATCCACAGAAATAAATAGAATTCAGAAGTAGATATATTGAAAATGTCTGATGTCATTATCTGCCATCCAGACGGTAAAAAACCCCATTAAAACTGTTCTGACATGCATATCTTTTTTGATTGAGAAGCACAAATTAGTCTAATTTCATCAACTTTAGCCTAACAGCCTCTGTTTTAGATAGACACATTTGTTTAGAAATAGCTTTTAAAGATTTTCTAGGCAACGCAAGACGTAAAAGAGAGACATAAGGAGAACAGAGGTTGCACTCATCATCCACCACCAGGCTTTCTCACTTTTTTATTTTACCAGGCATTGATTGGTTGATAAATACTTATTTAATGGTCTTGATCAAAATGAAGATCGAAAAGGCAAACACTGTATGGAGATTACCACCTTTATGCAGTTTCTGTGTCTAGAGTCCTCCATACTTCATGTAATTTTCAAATTACTGTAGCTTAAGCATGGTGTTTAAAGCGTTTTATGTGCAGGGATCACCACAACAGATGCCAAACCCTGCTTTGTAAAAGACTTCTGATGCTACTTTTTTGTTTTATTTTTGCAGGATATGTGGGGACACAGCTCTGGACAAGAATATCCATGAATCTGTCAGCGCACAAATCAAGAAGAACTTTGCCAAAAGTAAATGGAAGGTCAGTCAACAAAGTGTGGATGGAGAAGATTTAAGACTAACAGGAGTTAGAGTAGATGCTACATGTTCTTCACACTTAGATGAATATTTCCAAAAGCCTGCATTCGTTATGGGTCTGAATGTCACTGTGGTATTTTGTGTTTCAGTGATTTGTTCTTTAACAGTATAGCATGAGAGATCCCACAATCACCTGAGTTAAAATCAGACATTTATTATTGAAAACAGCCCTAAGTCTAAGCAATCCCAGCACAGCCCAGTATAGAGGAAGCAGCAGTGATAACAACCCTTTGTCTCATGAAACCAAAGCTGGCATGCCTAAAATCTACACCTCCCCTGGTGCGGTTAATGAAAACAATTAAACCCATGCAGACTATTGCAGTTGGCTAGAAAAGATATTATGGGACAATAATGGAGTAGATGAGTATAATTAAAATTATTATTTTTTTTGTTCTTATAAATGCGGAACACATACTTTGACTAACAAAAATGACCTGAGTAAGCGGTCTGAGTGCAAAATCTTGGGTTATTCAGTTTATGTTCAACATTTTTTAAGTAAGACTTGAAACAGACTCCAAAAATACTTATGTTAGAATAATTCAGATTTTTCCATTTGTAAAAATTACAAATCTGGCTCATCAATAATGAAGATCGTGGCATACTGAAACTGGTAAATTTGAAGGGGAAAATATTTAAACTGACATCTTATCTTTCAGCAATAAATATTTTATTCAACTTAACAATCACAACTTTTTTTTTCCTTCATTATAATCTACTTGTAAATAGGATTACAAACACATGGCCACTTTTAAAATTTTACCAAAATGCAGCGAGTATCTCAAAGAATCAGTGGCTAATACACCATTTATGTTTCTCGTACTCGATTACAATAAAAAGAATAGAAATAAATTGCATGCATTTATTTTACTAAGAGCAATATGGGGCTCTTTTTAATTATGGGTCTACAATAATTAATCTTTTTTTGCAAAAGTCTTTCTTATGTTGTCTGTTAAGGAGGCATTATGGAGTTTTCTAATGATACTGCCACCTGTGGCCAAAACACAGAACTGCAGCGCTCCTCTTTGCGCTCTCATAGCTCATGCTCATACTTAACAAGTTTTATTTCTTACTTTTTCACCTTACCTTGAGTTGCCATTCCTGTCTGTGTTAAGCTGGATGCCATTCTCTTCTGAGTGTCCACAAAATCCATCTTGAATATACAACGCTTCGATTGTTTGCTGGGTCAGACCTCTCATAATTGACACACTTGATGGCACATTAGTAGACAGCGCAGGAACGTCTGACCCAAAGTAAATTTCCTAAAAATAGGCAACAAGTTTGTACAGGTCTATATATATATTTGTATATATGCAAATCCTCCACTTGAACTACTAAGGCATCAGTCTGCTCATCAAACAATGATTTAGTCATAAAGAGTAAAATACAATTTTTTTTAAAATAAGTTTAAAATAAGTTTTAAAGATATTTTTCAGTTGCAGGTTTGAATTTGAGGTCATTCTAAGGTGGTGTCAGAAAAAGCATTGATTATCCTCTGTTCCCTGTTTATAATTTTAAGCAGAAAAAAAGAAAGGCTGCATTCATCTCAAGTTGTATAATCTCTGATGATAGTAGAATGATTTAGTTGAAGTTTGATTAATCCTTTTATTTCAGATTATAGAATTCTAGAGGTGAATAAATGCATCTCTGAAGCAATTAAAAACTGTAAAATAGCATTTTTATAATTACTCATCGATAGTAAACTGATAAATGTTGCTAACTTTAGTATTGTTCATTGCTTATTGTTACCTTGTCATGTTATTCTCACAGTTTATACAAAGTCTATGCATCTTCTTATTCAGTCTATCACCATTTATACTAACAACTAGTCAAAATGCCACTGATCGTATGGTTGAGGCTCCTTCAATCAGTCTTGATTATTAATTATTAGCTCAACAGCTTCTTCCAGGTTGCCTCAGCTTTAAGGGTAAACGTAACATGGTGTCAAACTCTGAATTATATCCTGGTTCCATTAGGGAGGAAGTTACAATCACTCCAATATAAGTCTTATTTTGACACCAACTAGGTTCTCAAGACACTTTTTATTTTGATAAAAAATGTTTGGCCGTTTTACCGTCATGGGACTTTGTGTACCAAGAACAAATTTGATTAACTTTAGAAAAAGATGATTGTAAAAAGTAGATGCTGTAAAGTAAAGATGCTTAAAGTGTGGTTCTCTTAATAAGTTTTGACATGTCTCAACCCAAGTTTAAAAATGGTAATCATTTAAATCAGCCAGCAGTACTAGTTGGGACTTGTTAAAGTTTTTTAGCTTTAGACAGTTCTATTGCTTTTACAGATTAGACCAGTTTACTGGTTTTGTTTCGTTTGTTGTCTTAATTAATCTGATGTAAGGCACAGAGTAAAAATAGCACGAACACAAATTTTTTCAGATTTTTTGACGGACTCTCTCAATAAAGTGCTGAAAATAGAAATAGAAAATCCCTTATAAATATAGCATTATGGCCAAAACTCAGTCCTGTGTAGGAAATGTAACCTATAATGATTATTTATCATTTAGAGCAGCAAGCTGAATAAGCAGAATCTTTTTACTTAGTTTTCTGTTTGACTTTATTTTTTATCATAATTGCCCAATTATTAATACTAAAAATTCAAAATAAATTTCTGATATTAAATTAAATGTATATCTTATATTGAGCTACATGAGAGTCTAGTGATGTTTATAGATATTTATAATGGGATATTATTCATGTAATAATACATCTCATTTAGCCAACAGTAAGAAAACATAATTTGCCTTCAGCTTTATTTAGATGTTGCTGTTAAATTTTTAATTTGACAATTTTTTTGTTTATTTCTTTGATCATAAAAAAAAATTATAAACAACATGGCCTTCATCTGTCTGTTACTGCCTCAAAAAAGAAATTTAAGGCCGTCTGTTTTGATAACCATATTTGTTCAGTGTCTATGGTAACAAAAACATTTACCAAAAGTATGTGTTTTTTATACATCACACACTGTGCTTTTTTAATTATTAATTAATTAATATAATAACGGGTGCCTGTTTTTTTGGTTTGAACGCCTGTCTGCAAAAATATGTGTGCTCTTTCCTGTGACTGTTATAACAAAGAGCCTACCTGAAATGTCTCGGTATAAATTTCAATATTTTATGTATTCTATTATGTATATATCTTCAGCTGGGAAGTAACTTTCTGTGTTCCACCTCAGTGTGCCTGTGTGGGTGTTTTGTCATAAATAATTTCATGTAACCTCCTGCAAACTACACCATCTGTGATATCTGCAATTTTCACTCCCCTGTTTAGACTTACACTTCTTTTCATGTTTATTGTTAAAACATTCATGTGCAAAATAAATTTAACTCTTTTTAATTTAAACTAAAGCTTATAAACACCAATTTAACCATCATTGATAATACAAAACAATACTACCATAGGATAAGTTGTAATACAGTTAGCAGCAACTTTATTTTTTAACTGTGAATTTACTTTTGTATTAATATTTTATGTATTTCTGTATATATTTGTCAACCAAACCTATGAATAATTTGTGAGCCATTTTTATTACTTAAAAAAATCCTTATTTCTTTCAAAATGTTAAAATGAAATAATGTCTTACTTGATGCTTAGATTTATGATAAACTTTTACAGTCAAAATGTTTATTTCATCATTGTTAATTGTACAACTATTGAAAAGAAGAACACTGAGAATACGAAGTTAAACAATTTCTTACATAAAGTGAAGAGTTTACAAGTGTCTGCTTTTTTGTTTTTCCTTGCAGCAAGCGTTCAATGCCACGGCGGTGGTGCGACACATGCGGAGGCTGCAGCTGGGCACCAGTCTCGAGGGACCGAGTCAGATTACTCCCACCAGTCCTTGCCATGGACATCTGCTCCCAGAGGAGGAGGTGGAGGAAGAGGAGGAGGAACTGGGGAATGAGGAGGAGGAGAGCTGTAAGTCAGCAAATGAATGAACAAACACAACTTCAAACCTGTCGGTGCTGTATGAGCTTAATAGATAATTCCTGCAAAATAGATGATCTTTTAAGTAATAAGAGCATTTTCAGATATAGTCTATTATATTACATTTTCCCAGCGGACTGCACATCCCTGTTAGACTCCAAACCGAACTGTGCATCTCTCCTGTGCAATAAACTAAAGAAAAAAAAAAAAAAAAAAACAGGCAGTTCTCAGGGAAACTGTGTCAATAATGAATATGCCGTGGCCTGTTTGCATAATTGTATGCATCCCCTAATTTAACACCTTGTTAAAACAGTTTTTTGATTTCATCCTAGGATTTTTATTTGACTGGGCTAAATTACTTAACACGTTTTCTAAATGTGTCAGCACGTCTCCTGTTGATAGCCGGTTTAGGGTGACACCAGATTATAGCTTCAATACTGGGTCGGCCACTTTAAAACTTTCATTTTATTCGAGTAGCCTTTCTTTTCTTTTTTTTTCTGTTTTGGATGAATACTTGGACTCTGTATGAACCTGCAAAATAAAAAAAAAAACATTTTATATTCAGCTTTAGCAGTCCTCTGAATGTTTTGGGTCAAAACTTATTTCACTTTGAAACTGCTCAGAATTTCACCCACCTTGAACAATATCAGTTGTCTCTGAACACATGATGCTGCTACCTCCATGTTTCACAGTTGCCATGGTGCTTGTATTGATGTGCCACTCGCTTATTAGGCTGCTTTTTGGGATTGTGGTGGAATAGACCCAGTTTATGTGGTTGCTTTCTTTTCCCTGGGAGATTTACTGTAGGTTGAACATTTTCGTTAGAAACAGGATATTTCTGTGCTCTAATTCTTCACCTTAGAGCAGAAATACTATGGAGATTGGAGAAAAATTGGACAGGACAAACATAAAATCAGAATTATAGAATGATATTTCTTATTTACAGATCCTTTAAATGCTAGGACAGCTCGTCTGCCTTTATTTGGAGAGACGATCTGGTTGTGACTCAACCCAGCCTGATGATAAATCATGACTAAAAGTACCAAACAAAATTATATAAATTTTAGTGCAGATGGTGCAGCTTGTATGTTTGCTTTCACAACACCATTTTCTTTTTAGAAGTAAAATACTGTAGTGTTTGGAAGTTAGTTTTTCAATTTTCCTATTTGGACCAATGAAGGAGACTTAATAGATGCACCTTTAAGGATGAATGCTTGTCATTTTAAGGAAAGCTATCGTGCTGCTCATGCATAGATTAATGAATACCTTCAGTCACATGTAGCTGCAAATCCCTCACAGATAGGACACACTTTAATGGATTCTGGTCAGCAGTTTTCAGATAAATGCTACCAAACTAATTTAAACTGGATGATGAGGTTATTGAATGGAATCAAATTTAATCCTAAGGCAGGTGAATTTATCTTCCTATCTTAAACAGTACATAAGGAATGCCTCTGAGTTGATTCTTTCCTGCTAGAGGGAAAACCTGGTTTGCCGGCTTATCAACTTATGCGGCTTTGTCTAAGTTAAACAGATAGCCCTTACAGTTGCAGCCATCAAAATAGCCCTTCCCAGTCAAATGCCAGCCGAATGGCAGCCAACTTGCAGCCACTGGACTGACCCCCTCCTTCTCCTGGCCATGCATATTTTTTTACTCTGTCTCCACCCTTTCACCGAATTATAGGGTCTGACCAGGAGAAGGCACTTCGCTTTAGATCTTAAGGTTTACAAATCATGACAGAAAGAATGTTTTAGTACAAAGATTGATTTTAAAAAAAGGAATCTTAAAAGACCAGCCAGGGACCAGCCAAGGGCCCATCAAGGAATGAGGGGAAAATTTTGAATGGCTACTACTGTATGCTATAATAAAAACTAAAGTTGTCAATTTTGATTATTCTCTCTGGTTGTGGTGTTTGCAGTTGTGCTCCTAATGACAAAACCTTGAATTTCCTCTAATTCTGTTGCTGCTCTGCTCCTCATCACCCAGTGTCTCACTACGAGGATGGTCGTCGTGGAAGTAATGAGGGCAGCACAGATCGGGACAGTCTGAGAAGCTGTACCTACTGCTGCAGGCCAACCAGTAGAATTTGAGCACAGCCTCCTGGTTTCGTGATGATGAAGTGTCTGTGGAGCACCCAGAACTCGCCCACCCAGTCTGGCCAGTAAGGCAGAGTAGATATTAGTCAATATCCAGCAGAAACCCAAACAACAATTTCCAAATTCTTTGTGTTTAAAAAAACAAAAAACAAAAAAGGACATTTACAGTTAGTTTTCGTTACTTTGTTTAAACTAAATAATAACCTCTGTGATGGGAAAAAGGGTTTCCCCTCTCAAGATTATTCATGTTTTGCTTTTTCGCTACCTAAAAATATTTCAGATCATTAAGCAGATTTCTTAGAGCAAATACAAGCAGTTCTCAGCTGCTGGAATTTGTTATGAAAGAAAACTACACAAAGCAAACTGGTTCTGTATGAAATTGTTATCATACCCTTTTTATGAGTGCTTATCTATGATTTTGTTACATTATACAGCTACAAACAAATCTCATTTCTGCCAGACTTGCAAAATCAAGAAGAAACTTAAACAGAGCCAGTCTTACAAAAGGAAATAGGTTCAAATCTGCAATGAGTTCAAGAACAGATGAGAAATATTCAGAAACAAGCCTTCTGAACTCCAGTACAGTAAGAGCCGCTACTAACAAATGGAAATAGCTATATTTGCCTGCAAACTACAAATACTGTGAGGCCACACTAGCAACACATCCAAAAGATCACAGCAAACCCAAAACTAAATATTTCTGAAGCACAGCATGTCTCACATACCTCAGTGAAGTTCACTGTTCGTAGCCTAAAAATAAGAAACACTGCATCCATGGGAGGGTTTCAGTGTGAAATCCCAGCTGATCAAAAAGAGGAGAAATAATCTGAATGACTTCTTTAGGAGACCACCACAGAGGAGAATCCCAGGACACCAGTTTGTTAACTATAACTGGAATTTAGCTGAGTTATGCAACAGCACAAGTGCAAAAGGTGACTAAAAAGTCCACCTCTAACAGCCTATTCAAAGGTAGAATTTAGCCTCTTTCCCACTGAAAATAGCGCGTTAACCCGGGTTAACAATCGGCATTTGGCTCCCTTCCCACTGGCAAAAAAACTGTGTCTAACCCCTCGCTGGCAAGCTGCGTCGTCTCTGTTCCCCCGCGGGTGCATGTCTGGTGACACCATCACACTGGATTGGCATTGATGATGTCACCAATGTGACGGAAATTAAGACATTAAACAATGAATTGCAATATCTAAGGAAACCAGTGCGCTTTCTTGTTTCGTTCTATTATCTTTCCTAATCCCTTTTGCCAGCGCTGAGCCATGTTTATCGAGTTGTTTTGGCTTGTTAAATCTGACCGATTGGTGTGGTTTGTTGACGTCCGTACGTTAAATGGTGTAACTTAATTTCTGGCTCTGGTGGCGATTTTAACACAGGTCGCTTGCTAAGTCCTTTGATCATTAGACACGCGTCATTGAGCTGTTCCCACTGCCAATAAAAGCTGATTGTTCCTGGTCATAAACAGGTTTTTTGGCTGGTGGGAAAGGTTGGTGAATCAGATTTGGGGCAAGGTTTGACATAAATCTGGTTAAGATGCTGTAAACTTAAAGCAGACTGCTCTAATCATCTAAAGAGTGAATTCAAGGTATAGTGGAGGATTTTCTTTTTCCCGGTGGATCATCAAAATTAGTGGTCCTCCTAATTGTCATTCATTCTGGTGATATGTTTACGTAAGGGCGTCCTATCTGCTTGTCCTCAGTTAGCTGTCTTTTTCTGCGCATGCGCACTTTTATGTGGTGAGCTATGGTGTTAGCCTCTCATTGAATCCACACTGAAAGCACAGCACAGGTCGGGCTTCCCTCTGATGCCTTGGTTGCAAAGTTTTTACTCGACAGGTAAAGCCTGGCATGCTATTTGAAGAAATCCATTTCACATCACTGGTTGTAAAAGTTAACTACCCCTATATTGTAACTTTCCAGGGTTAGATAAGTTTATCTATTTTGTAATAAGCATTGTTTTATGGTGGCCACAGATCCTTATTTACTCTGTAAACAGGTCCACATTTCCACATTAGCCTACACTTTTTTATTGTACCAGTGTTCTTATTTGCAGGTAAACTTTTTATACATAAATATGGGTGAGATGAGATCCATCCGAGCGACCATCTTATTGCATCCATGCACATCTCGAGGAGAAATAGGCTCATGCACGCTCTTGCACACGTTTAACATGCGTTTCCTCTCGGGGGCGTGTACAGGGTTGTGCATGTGCATTTTTTTTTTTTTTTAAGTGGAGAGGGTGTGTCTTTTCAAACATTGACGAAAATCCTCCACGATACATTTAAGAATCTGAGAGAAAGAGTAACACAACATTCTTCAACAGATATTGAAGCGACTGGCCAGGAATGTTAAGATTAGTTACCAAATACGAAGGGAGAGGCTGGTTTGAATAGTTTTCCTTGATAATTAAAAACTGACATCTAAGTCAGTTTGGTGATCTGAAAAAAAAAGAAGCTAAAACTGAAGAAATGTGTTTGTAGGCTTATTCTTTTTCAAAGAATTATATTGCAAAAGTGACCACAAGGCATATTTGTGAAGAGAGATTGATTAAAAAAAAGAAGCTTTATCTCAATGACCCACCATAATGATGAAATGATTAGTCCTTTTGTGCAGCCATGGCAGAAAAAGGCCTTTTACAAATTGTTCAGCATGTTAGCTTCAGAGCCTGTTTACATCAAAGATGAGTTCTAAAAGCTGTGTCCTTTTTCTTAATTGTTATCTCATTATATGCCACGTCTACCTCTAATCATGGCTTCTGTGTGTCTGCATCCATCTGGCTTAGGCACTCTACAGTGCTGGCAGCTTTCTTTGAAAAATCTGGGCAGACAAGTTAAAAGAACAAAAGCATTTAAAGCTAACATGTCCGGAAACTGAATCCTGTGGGTCCTTCTCTTCTTTATCCATTAACCAAATACTAGGCAATAGCCTAGAAAACATCTCTATTTAAGTAGAGAGGCTAAACATTGTTTCTCCCTTGAATTATATTAATACCTAGCTAACAACTTAGTATCTGCTCTGCAAAATAAAATTAAGTATAGCTCTGTTTAATTGTAAAGCTTTTTTTTTTTTTTTGGCTCGATATGGATCCCAGTCAGTCCAGTAATGTAATATTCTCCTTATTAACAAGTATGAATTGAACTCAGATGACTTCAGTTTCTTTTAAGTTTACTAAGATAAAAAAAGTTGAGTTTAGATCAATTATAAATCTTAATTATCCCAAAAACCTTTCCAATTGAATCTCAACCTTAGTTTACATTCTTTCCGCTGACTTTTTTCAGTGCAGTTCGTTGTGAATAGAATCCATTAAATCAATTCTTTCATTGATGTTTCCCCCTAAACAAAGTTCTTCTGTTCAAATGGAAAATAAAGGGTCTTATTTATCTAGTTCTTTCCTCTTGAATGTGATCCATTTCACTTGATAATCCAATGCAATCATTACTTTTGGTTCTTTTGAACTAAATGCCAAATATAATCCAGCTGACTAATACTGTCCAATCATTTCTTACTGAATTGAGGCCCAGTTCAAAAGAATTGTTCTAAACTGAATACAGCCAATTTTAGTCCACTTATAATCAAACCAACTCTGTAATCAACCCTTACAATGGAATATGATGTTGCTCAGTCCAGTGCAAGGCACTTCAACACAATGTAAACCCCTTAATTGTCCCACAATGGGAAAATTCACTCTCTGCATTTGACCCATCATCTTGGGGAGCAGTGGGTCGCCATTGTGTGGTGCACGGGGAGCAGTGTGGGGTTAAGGGTCTTGCTCAGGAATCCAGTGTCCAGGCTGTTGGGATCGAACTGGGCACTTGCAACCTTCTCCAAGCACAATTGCACTGCTCTCACCACTAGACCAACTCTCCCAGCTGTAACATAATTATCTCCATCTTAAAAAAAGTCCAGATTTATTCCAATGAAATCAAATTAATTTCATGTAATTCTGATTGAATCATTCATATATATTTAATGTTTCCTCCCTACAATCTGGTGCAATCCAGTGTATTCTAGTTCAAATAAATTATCTTAAACTAAAACCGTACAGTTTAATCCAGATATAAACCATGTGACTTACATTCTGTCTGAATTAAGTTAGTTTCTGTCCAGGAATCATTTATTGAATACATTACTTTGTTTTGATGCTGCTCACATTAATCATGCAAATAATGGATATATAAAATTAAATATTTTTTCCTAAATAGAAGATATGAGGCAGAAAAGGTCAGTTTTCCCCAAAAAATGCTGTTTTCATCTTCATTAACATCAAAAAGTACAATTTTTTTGTGATTAAAAAACTGCTCATATTCAGGCTGAATGAATATTACAGTTAAATCCAGTTTTGCTTATTTTCGACTCTTTTCTTCTTTGTTTAAATACTTTGTGAACATATTATCTAAATACTTTAAAAGTTGCAAAAGGTTTTGGAGTCTATATAGTGGCTCAGACTGGGTATGTGACGGGTGGATTTGGCTTGAAATGTCTGCATGCTTCCTTTTGGGAAAAAAAAAAGAAAATTACATTAAAATGTATGAATATCCAAAAGGAGACTTTTTTTGTATGTTTTATGGCTGTTTTTTTTTTTTTTATTGTTATTATTTTTTTAAGAGGCTCAAACTGAGATCCCCATTAGGCCGTTATATTAAAACTCGTATTATGCCTTGAAGATTATAGAAATCCTGTACTTTTTTTCACCTGTTTTTTGTTAAGAAAAGCAAACGAATCCAAAGGCTGTGAGTCTCTTTTCTCCTGGCCCAGACCCGGCTCATGTTGAGTTGGAGGGATCTCGGTCTGGGCACTCTACCTGCTCTGTGCTGTACACCTCTAGTGGAAGAAGTTTTGGTCTACTGTTTGCATGACCTGGTTCAATATGTTTACATGAATGATGATCAATTAGTATAAACACACGATTTAATATTACTATGTTGTATTGAAAACTAATGTAATTTTTGAGCTATATAATGTGAAGTGATTAACACCTGAAGTAACGTTGTTGACAAAATACAACACAGCACAGTGGACTTATCATTTGCATCGACTCTAACAGGCAAGTCTCTTTCTGAGTGATCTTTTTTCTGTACTATGCTTATTTATGGCTTCGTTTTTTGTTTGTTTTTTTGTTTGCATTTCCTGACCCTACTAAAGCAAACAACATATCAGTGATTTTGCAAGGTTTCTGTTTTTTAAGTATTTATTTTGAAAAGGGGTCTTAAAAACATAAAGGTGCAAGAGCAACACCTTGCTGCTGGAGTGCTCTCTTTACAGTTGTATAAGGAAAGAACACTTAAGCCATACACTAATTATTTACCCTTTTTTCTGTACTTGATGTACAACTTAACAATCACCGTAATCTGCAAGCGATACACACAAAATAATTATTTTAAAACAAAATTGATTGACCTATAATATTATTAACATCATGTCGGTAGAAAATAATGTATCCCATGACATAGTACATTCTGTTTAAGGCAAATAAAACCTTAAGGAACACAGTGAACTAACCCATCAATCGATCCTCTTTCATTAATGGGTTTCGTTCTAATTGTAGCTATTAATGCGGGTCCATAGTACAGTAAAAGAGGGCGATCACTCTGGATTTACAAGACTGTAATTTTGGAATATATGCAAACTGTGTTTGAAGGGCTTCATGTTGAGTGTACTATAGCCAATGTTGATGACTTTGATAACCTGGCTATTATATGTTTTGTAAAGACTTTCTGTTGAACCTTTCCTGGGATTTATTTTAACTCAGCTGTGTCTTTGTTAAGCTTCTGTTATCCATTCCAAACACACTATAATGCATAAAGAAACACATGTATATTATATATATATAAATAAATATAAGTATATATTGTATATTCTTTTTTTGTAAAAGCTGTTTTGAGCTACAAATGTATGGATGCAATGCATCATGGGTTATTAAAAAAAGTTGTATGAAAATACGATTTGTACCCACAAAGAATTGACTGCAGGAACTGAAATAAAACTTCCTTGTCTATGCAGTGTTTGTGTTGTGTCATGAGATAAGATCTTCCTCTTTAACGCAAAGTAAGAGATGAAATCAGCTATTCCTTACAGTGGTTAATGTAAACATTTTAGTTGTGTGCTTTCATGTAGAGTTACAGACTTGGAGAAATTAGTTTACAACTCTGGTAAAGATGGGGGACAGGCTTTAAAATAAACAATCTCTAAAGATAGCATAGAAGAAGGTTTACTTTCTTTTTAACTTGGTCAAATATTGTTGACATATCATATATTTAGTTCCTGTCAAACTGATCTGTATTTTTAAATGCTTAAAATGTAAATGTGTTCATCTAATCCACACATGCAGTGCCAGTTACAGCAATCTGTGAAAAGTTCTACATATTTTAGTTTAGCAGGGTAACCAATTGGTTGGGTTGAAAACACCATCTAACTACTGTGACTGAGAATCCAAAACGCCACTCTCTGCTGGCTTTGGAGGTTGCTTTTTTTAATATTTCTTTGACTCTGCCTTATTATTTAATGTTGGCAAGATATGTAGATATAGGTCCAAAACCAAATCTATTGGCTTGTAGTAAGGTATTTTATTTGCATACAGAAAATTGCATTTTATAATTAACAAATTTTGATCTAAAGTATTAATTCAAGTATACATTTTAAGTGAAACATATTTTAAAAGGACAAGTAGAGGTATCAGTAAAGGATGACATTTTTGTAATCCTGCTTGAAAAAAAAATTAATGCATACTATGAAACAAAAAAGTAAAGATCAAAAAACTGTCATGCTAATGGTGAAACTCTACCATCACGCTGTATTTTTAACCTAACATATCAAAACCACACTAAAATCACTACGTAGTCCTTATAAAGAGACCACAATTTTATATCAAACTTTTTTCTAATCTGACTAAAATATTAGTAAATATTTCCTGTTGAAGCTCAATAGGAGAGTGTTTTTTTTCTTTCCTCTTAAATTAAGCATGCATTACCTTTTTATTTTTGCTAGAATTGCCTTTATGACTCTGTTGAAGCATTCTGTGCATATAGCTTTTAAAGCCTCTTACAATAACTTACTTGAATTTAGTCTCATTCCTTCTGACAGAACCAATCTAACTCAGGCAGTTTCTAGGGTTGCCTTGCTCATACACAGCTTTTAAATTATGACTGCACATTTTTTAAGGGACTGAGTTTTGGTCTTTCAAATTTTTACACAAAGACTTAACTTTCACCTTTTAGCTACTTTGTGACTAATTTGGTGGTATATTTATAGTCATGAGATTCATTTTAAAGACCTACTAGCACTCAAGCATGGTGTGTTATTTGTATGATATCCTAAGATGTTGCCAAGAATGTTCCCTGCATTCTTTCCTCATGTCATTTATCTTTTAAATTGCAATAGTTTATGAACTGGTTTTGACCAAACTTAGTGATATGACTTTATGAGCTGTTTAATCCTAACATCATTGCATAATATACCAAATGTCATCCAGTCACCATGTTTTCATTCATCAACTGTAAAACATCTCTACAAAAACAAGCATTGTCATTCATTTCTGGAGTCACATTATTCTTCTTTGAGGTACTTTGAGGATCTATATGGGCCTTTTATTTGGACGGAGGGCTTTTTTTTTTTGCGTTTCTTAACTCTGTCACTAGAGACAAAATTTGTGTCACGTTTAGGTATTCATATAGATAAGTCTCCTTAAACAGTGAATATATAAACAGTTTAATGAGCAGCAAAATCCATGTTATAAAAACACAAACAGAAAAGTGAATGTGTTGCAGTCCATATATGTATTAATTCTTATATTTATTGGGCATGCTGCAATCCAGTAATTTCCATGGAAACTAGCCCCCCCCCTCCACACAAACACACACACACACACACACACACACACACACACACGCAAAAAAATAAAAAATTTAATAAATAAATAATTCAGTCAGTCTGTCTTGGATGAATAAACTAGGTTGGAGTGCCCTCCACTGGCTGATTATGGAACAACACCACATGCTGTATATTAAGTGCTGGTATTTCTCAGTTTTTTAAACCTGCTTGATCCCTGCAAGGCAAGAGACACACAGGAACCTAGAAAGGTCAAAGGTTTTTTAGACCACTAGTTCTATCTAAAGGTTTCTTATGTATATAGATTTTGTGTCTAAGTCTAAACTTATGGAAAGACAACCCAACACCAACACATAGAGTGTGCCCAAACTCCATGATCCACGCTGGGGTTGAAGTTTATAAAGTAAATACTGTTTGGGTGATTCGTTCATTAATATAATTATACAATTTTACATTTTTTTTATTTTAAAACACCCTGCTATTTTGCACTTACAAATCATGGAGGGGTCTGAAATTCTCATCATAGGTGCATGTCCACTGAGAGAGATATAATCGGAAAAAAATAAATAAAAATAATCCAGAAATAAAAATTTATGATTTTTTAAAAACTGTTTATTTGTATGATACAGCTGCAAATAAGTATTTAAACACCTGAGAAAACCAATGTTAATATTTAGTACAGTAGCCTTAGTTTGCAATTACTGAGGTCAAACGTTTCCTGTAGTTTTTCACCAGATTTGCATAAACTGCAGGAGGTATCTTTGCCCACTTCTCCACAAAGATCTTCTCTATATCAGTCAGGTTTTTGGGCTGTCGCTTTGAAAGAACAGAGTTTAAGATCCCCCCAAAGATTCTCTATTGGGTTTAGATCTGGAGATTGCCTAGACCACGCCAGAACCATGATATGCTTCTTCCAGAGCCACTCCTTGGTTATGGCCGTGTGCTTCCGGTCATTGTCATGTTGGAAGATCCAGCCTCGATCTTCAACGCACTAACTGAGGGAAGGAGGTTGTTCCCCAAAATCTTGCAATACATGGCTCCGGTCACCCACTCCTTACAGTGCAATAAAGTGGAGTCCCCTGTCCTATGTGCAGAAAAACACCCCCAAACCATGATTATACCACCTCCATGCTTCGCTGGTAGGTGCGGCCATCCCTATGTCTGTCCTTGTTTCCCAGTGACCTGGGTTGCCTCTGGATACTGGGGCTTGCCATGCCTCTTTTTCTGTCCGGGGCTCTGAAGGGTGAGGTTGGGGCCAACCACACCTGCTATTAAGCTAGTAAGCCTTTTGAAGAGGCTTTGTGAATCCTTTATACACGAGCATGCTCATGCATAAATACCAAATGAGTTTGGTTCCAGGTGTTTACGGATACACAATAATCACCATTTTTAATATTCCTAATTAGAAAATGTATTTTAAATACTACATACTAAGCTGCAGCTACATATATATATATATATATATATATATATATATATATATATATATATATATATATATATACCACCCTGATTAATATTGTCTAATCACCATAGGTTTTGCATTGCACACACATGGATATCTCAGGGATACCCTCTGTTGTCTATTGTCTTCTTTTGGCTCTGATCTTCCTCTCTTCTCATGCAGATATGGAAGCAGACACCTAGGAGTCACTATATCTATTCTTTTTTTGTTGTTTTGCTTTATTTTCTCTGTTTTCATGCACTCTTTATTGTCTCTATCTCTCTCTATCTCTTTCCTTAGTTCTCATCCCCTCTTTCTGTCTTATCTCCTTTTTTGTGTATGTGTCCATTGTATACAATTTTACTGTAAATGGTTTTCAATAAAGTTTAATATAGAATTATCAAGCAGAACCTTATGGCAACTGTCAAAATGGTCTGCTTGTATAAGCAGAGCTGTTGGCCTATCAACTAGCTCCGGGACATCTATTCCCCAGAGCTATATTGGCAAAACAGGACACAAAAAAAAAAGAAAAGAAAAATGTACCCCATGCTATCTGTCAGTTCCAACAGCATAGTCTTCTCCCGCTTGTCTGGTGTTGTCAATTAGAATGAATGTTTGATATCTGAAAAAAACAATATGCTGATAATTTAAAATTTTATAATACATACAATACATTTGATATATATATATATATATAAATATATATATATATATATATTTGTTTTTTTGTTTGTTTTTTTTTGTCAGTTTTTATATATCGGGAAAGGAAACATCATAATGGTGAGAAATGTATTGGAAATATTGTAAAAATGTTGAAAAAATTGGTTGTTGGTTTTATTCATCACAAATACATCATTAGCCATTTAATCTGGAGTATTATTCAAAATGTAGATTCATTCTATTCAGTTACTCAGCTGACAGGTATCTTTCTCATATGTCAAATGTTCACTTCGTTAAATATTTTTTTCCTAAGCTTTATAGTCCTCTTTGCCTTTACCTTTGCTCTCCATCAAGGAACAATGACATCTTCTACTCCAGATCCTGTTGTGCCTTCACCCTCTTACTCCCTCTTCTTTGAAGTTTTCCAGTCTAGAGTGTCCTTCCCTGCTTATTCTCCTCTCCAAAATGACAGACATTTTAAAGATTAATACCCATAATAAAACTTGGCTGTGTGTATTTATGACATCCACTGTGTATCTGTCCAACCTCTTGTGGGTCTTAGGCAGTTATTGGTGGAGTGTCTGGAGGCGGTTAAATGACAGAGAGGTTTGTGGGGTCTGATAAGATCACTACTCCTCTCCTGACTGTAGCTTAGACACAAGAGCCTGAAACTCTTGGCATTCAATCTCTTGTGCACAAATGAAAAAAACTTATCTAATAATTATAAATCATATCCTATTTGTGAGCATGGCTGTAGTCCATGACACAGCTGTCACAGGTTTGATTCCTGTCCTATTGAACTTTACCACATGTGTCTTTCTCACTCCCATTCCTGTCTGCATACACTGTAAAAACGAAAAAGTTAGTTCAACTCAAAATTTCAAGGCAACCGGCTGCACAGAATTTTTGAGTTGAAGGCATCAACTTAATTTTTTAAGTTTTGTAGAACTACACTTATTAAGTTGTGTATGCTAAGTTTTTCAAGTTCTGCCAACCAAGTTTTTTAATTCAAGTTACTGGAACTTTCAAGTCTGTA